AAAACTGAAGTTCAGATAGGTGGCTCAAAGACAAAAGAATGACTCTAGGGTTTCTCATTATAAAATAAATAAAATTTTATTTTCACTCACGTAGTATAATAACCATACTTTTCTTCATTTCTTCAATGTAAAAATTTGGAAAAAAAAATCTATAAGTAGAATAACAACATCACCAATAAAGAGAAATTGAACCATTTGTTCTTCATATAGATATCAACTGGGGTTCCTTTCTAAATTGTGAGAAAATGTATATCAAATATTAATTTCCCAGACTATAATAGTCGGCTCATAATTATACTACACTGTGCTATAATAACTGGTGAAGTATTTAGTTCTTCTTGCCATATAATCTATCTGATAATAAAATGGTTGGCAAAAAGCTTAACTTTTCTATGAAGAGCCCTCAGAATTTGCCAGTGAACTTATCTCGTGCAATGTGACAGAAATATTTAGTTCTTCCAAAAATCTTAAAGAAGTTAAATTTTGGTTAAAAAAATGTATCCACTTAAATAGTTGCTTCTTGAACATCTCTGAGAAACATCAAAATTGATTTGTCCCAATGTAATTAGACTAGCACACTTATTTCTTATTCTGTTTACATTGGTTATAGGGCATGGGGGTGATAAGGATATGAGGTATCCTTATAAAAGGGACATATCCTCTCCAGTCAGCAATGGACTACATGCAGTACATGTAGTGCATGTAGTAGAAAAAACACCAGACTGGGGCCACTATTCCCACAATGCCCAGGTAGGGAGAATAACAAACATTGCCTGATAAAAGTCCTTTTGATAATATGTTAGAAAAAATAACTTTGTAATCACAGAACTGCTACACATATATGTCATTATTCTTATTAAGCCAAATTCTCAAAATGGCTCAAGGTTGGAGCAAAGCAACCTCTCTGTAAGCATAAAATTATTCAACAAAATATGAATCTGTATGCACTAATAGAATGTAGACGAGAGGCATGGCCCAGGTTTGGTGGGTTTCTTCAGGAAAGTTTTCTTGCTCAAAGTTGTTTCAGGAAGGTATGTAAAGGTGGTATAGTGTAAGTATTTATGGTTGAAATTCGTGGTTACATGCTTCTCTGAATTTTGTTAGTTTAACAGACCTCTCTCAAGGATGCTCCTAAATCTCAGTAGTCATTGGTGTCAATGGCTCTGATCCAAGGCAGGTGCACAATTTCTGCCATCTTTACCACGTGAAAAGGTTGACGGGATTTTTCTGGCTTCAAATCTTTGTAAAGCCATTCTTGACAAGTGTTTCCTTACCAATTAAATACACTTACATGTGGAGATTCTAATTGTTTTCTGTAAGTAGTACATATGTAGTTATGTTAATTGCACTTTTAAAATTTGATTTCAAATGTCTTTTTTTTTTATCTTTTGAGGTAATTTTCAAGTACTTTCTCTTATATTAGATTGGTTTTCCATCCACTCATTCATGCATCTACCCACCTACCCATATCACCAACCACTCTTTGAATACCACGCTTAAAACGGTATCTCCACCTCCAAGTCCCTGAATACTATATTATACTAACTTATAAATGCTATAAATACTATAATAATTTAAACTTGGATCATCTCTTCTGTAAGCTTAGAAAATGCCATACATTTTTGTTTCCATCATAGCTCTTAGCAATGTTTCCATTCTAGTGTTCTTCCCTAAGTACTGCAGAACATGAAATGAGTATACCTACACTGCACACTTTTTTCAGGTTACTTTTATAAAACAAATATTCACAATCACTGCCACACCAATGGTTTGTATCTCTACCATTTTCATGCATCAGACTACTAGGCCCTCCATTAGGACCACTGGTCTTTATCCTTTGTTTTTTTTTTTTTTCTGGTTGGAAATCACTTGTGCTATCTTTGACTCCATAGGTGTGAACGTCTCTGTAATCTGTCCTACATCTACGGCACTGCATGCAGAACAAGACGTCTTTATTCATGGACCTCAGCTGAGCTACCTCCGTCTGGATGGAAATGAAATCAGGCCACC